AAATTTAAAAGGCTGATAACTTTCTATATCTATAATCCCTCTATATATATATATATATATATATATATATATATATATATATATATATGCAAGTTTTCTACCTATATATGGTATCTATCTATCTCGACCTGGCTGCCATTTTGTATTTCAGCGACTATATGCTAGCAGACATGCATCAAGCCTGTGTACATGGTCAATTAAGGACAAACCTTAGTATAAAATAAAACACCTTTTTTGCCACAGGCTCCCAGACTAATTCATTTATAATGCAAATATAAACTTACACTCACACCAAGATACGAAAATATTGAAGTTTAGCGTTTAATTTAAGTGATTTCTAAACTATCTTTCTATCAGAGAATTATCTCTCTTGTCTCCAAAAGGTTGGTTTAAAAATAATACAAGCCAACCTCATGATTAATTAGGGTTGAGCAAAATGATAATTAATCAATTAAAACATCTAATTTCACAACAAAAACAACTGAATTCAGAAAATAATATAATTTATTAACTGATGTAGCATACAAATATCACAAGCCACTCATATACATGAATTCCATTAATACAACACAAATTAAAAGCATATATATATATATATATATATATATATATATATATATATATATATGCTATTAATAGGTATTACATATTTATATTTTATAAATTATGAACAAACCATTAACAATAAAAACAAAAAATAACATTTACCATATTATAACAATGAAAACTTATAATAAAATATTTGTATCAGATATTTATAATACAATACTATAACCATTCCACAGCCAATCATTTCAAAAACAACAATTTTTAGAACCTATTCAACTATTTTAAAGTTAAGCTAATGACTATTAACTTTAGAAGAAAAGATGGATTACAGAAATTAGAAAGAAGAGAATAAAATAAAAAATAATACACAACTTGAAAAAAAAACTTATTTAGTTAATAAAAAAATATAAATAACAGTAAACTAACAAAAAATTGTTGTTTTTTTAAAACAATATTTATACACATTTATTATCTAGTAAAAGAATAAAATAAAATTAAGGTATTTCATTTCTTAAATTTATGGGTCTTCTAAAAACACAACAAATTTAAACAGACTTTGAAATAATTTGTAAAATCAAAGTCGAGCAAGAAATAACAGAAATGAAATTATATATACATACGAACATGTTTACCAAAAATGTATGAAACCATTTAAGCAATATCAATTATAAAAAATAAGAATGAAAAACCAGAAACATGCTGTTAGTATAATTAAAGTTAAAAATATAACTTGGTAACATAATTTTTAAATGGTATCTTAGTTAAGGTATGTTTCAAAAGTCTCACATACCAAAACAAATACAATATATGTATGCATATAATATATAGACACACATACATATCTACAAACCTATTAGAGAAGGATCAAGATATAGACAATGGTATCAGTGACAAGAGTTCCTGTTCCTCAACAGTACCTGATATTTTTATCAACTAGTAAATTTACTATATTATTAATAAAAATTAAAAGTTAAAAAATAAAATTGATTTTAATTTTACCAATGAATTTTAAAGTAACGCTGTATGTTTGAATCAATAATTGATTTTCTAAACTTGTTTCCAGTTTTTGTCATACAAAGCCTTATTATTTTATATCTTATAGTTTTTGGGGTAAAAAATAAAGGGTTTTGTGATTATAATTCAACTATGTTATCTTCTTATATGTGATTGAATAAATTAGTGATTTTACAAACAAACTGCTATTCCCAGTATTGTTTGTTTATTTTATTTTATTTTTTTAATCTAGGAAATAGTACAATATGACAACATTACTAGGGTGGGAAGCAAAGAGGTAACTGGAATCGGAGGACTAAGGAACAACTTATGTGAATCGCCCTAATGTGCCAGTATTGTATTTCCCAGTATTGTTTGTTTATTTTATTATTTTTTTTAATCTAGGAAATAGGACAATGTGACAACATTACTAGGGTGGGAAGCAAAGAGGTAACTGGAATTGGAGGACTAAGGAACAACTTATGTGAATGGCCCTAATGTGCCTGCAGTCGTAGATGCTGAAAGTATTTGAAACTTTCAGCAGTCGTAGATGCTGAAAGTATTTGAAACTTTCGGTTAGTCATATTTTCAACTAATCAGTAACGATTGGATAGATTACAACCCATCATTAATAAGTATATATACATGTGTGTGTGTATAATACAATTTAATTTGCAATATGTTACAAGAATCAGAACTAATAAATGTTTACAAAAATTACCACTTCATACCTCTGTTTAAATAATTTTGTATAAAACACGTAGTTTTTTAATTTAATATCTCTATTACATTTTAATACTGATATATATTACTTTTAATCACAGCGAAGTATTTAGAATTTCAAATAAGTAGTATCAGATTCCATAATGAAAGAATGCCAGTATTAATTACATGAATATTTATGTTACTGTAGAAAAAACCTAAGTACTTATATAAAAACTAACACATTAATCAAAAATAAAAATACTAAATAACAAATAATTGTGTAATACCTTTGCAAAAGATTCACACTTATAACAGTAAATTAGTAGTTTGATATCTCAGAGATGAAAAATCTAGAAGTTATACCTCATTTTAACTGGAAATGACCTTTTAAGTGTAACTTTAAGAATAAAACATAATTCAGGGTTAATATTGAATTTCAAACATTTTAATTTGAGCACTATACATACAAACTCCTGGATAAATTGCCTCTCTTAAAAGTGTAAGGACGGATTAATATAAAAATGAATATATTTTGATTTTGATTGTATAAATTACAAAAAAAAAAAATAAAAAATAATAATAGTGAAAAAATGAGATAACAATATTGGTTTGATGACAGGAATCATGCAACATAATAAATAAAGAGTGGCAAAATCGAGAATAAAGTGTTGCTAATTTAATAAAATTCTTGCAGAGGGACTATTTATTTGATAAATATTTGAATACTAATCTTGGGTGATAATTAATGTTGATAAAAAAGTGACCTTATATCAACTATGGATTTACATCTTAATTTATAAAATGTTGGAATTATAAATAGCATAATACCAACAGAAAGTAAATGAAATATAAAAAAATAAATATGATAAAATAAACAGTAACATAGAATTGAACACATTAACAAAAATTGTCTGCTAAGTTCAGATGTGAGAATCAATTTACTAACCTCTGTAAGAGAATTGTCAAATAAAATTAGTCATTTGTTCCATTCTAATTACTAAAAAAATAATACTTTTTTAATCGTAAAAGACAATTCACTGAGGTTACTTATGAATGGACTGAGATCGGACAATAATCATAAAATTGATTTAGTAAATACCATGCACATCAATTTCATTTTATACTTAACCCAAGCTTACATAAAGCTATAGACATAACCATTATTCCATTATTATATGACAGAGGTCTCCAAACTTTTTGGCCCACGGGTCACATTGAAACCTCCACTTAGTCCCCCCGACCGTATTGAGACTTTCCCAATAAGTTTCCCGGACCATGGATTGTGGTGAAGAAAACAAAGTTTGTTCTATAAATGACACTTCAGTTGTGATATGAGGTTTCTAACAGAAATAACTATGCAATAAATGTTGTAGTAACCTTGTGCGTCAGTAATTAGGTAAACTATATATTTTAAAAATAATTTAATAGTTTTTAAAGTTTTACCATTTTCTCTACGAAGCTTTCGCGGGCTAGACTGGATGGAGGTGCTGGCGAGCCGGATCCGGCCCTCGGGCCACAGTTTGGATACCCCTGTTCTATGCTATTGATTGTAACAGTATTTTCCATCACTATGTATTCATCATATTAACACAAAATATACTTTGGTACTCATAAGAATCACAATTTTTTTAAATATTCAACATTAACAGGTATGAACTAAAATTTCATGATCAGCTTAATGAAAAATGCATCATTAATATTTTTCATATAACTATTTCAGATGATACTTGAATTATTTTATGATAAAGAAAATTAAAAATAACTTTTCAATATCAATTACTATTTTTTAGTACATATCTTCTTATTTTTTTCAATAATCATCACACCAATGAAGATTGCTAAAAACATATACTTGTAATTCTGACAACTACTAAATACACTTCGATGACAACTTATATAACTCTAACAATATTAAATATAAATTTCATACCTAGAAAAAATAGGAAAAAAAACGACAAAAACAAAAACAATATTATCTTTTAATTAGAACTAATAATAGACATTACATTTGTTTGACAAAGGAACTCTAAAGGGCTTTTCCAGAGGCTAGAAATAATGACAGACCACCTGATATACATGTCATTTTGTCTGTTATTTAGAGGAAAGAAAGGCCATAACTAAATAATCATTTTCATGACAATTTTTTAAGTAGTGCGATATGTAGTCAGTATGAGACATTTATGTGAATTCAATGCATTAATTTATTTGTCATGCAACTCATTTAATTTCCTAACAAATGTAAATTAAAGAGTACACAGTAAAGTTTGAAAACTATATTAAATAAATGATTAATTTAAAGCTATAGAGAAATTGTACATAAAAAATACACATATGATGGAAAACAAAAAAACAACAGAAAAATACTGTCTTAAAAATAATTATTAGCAGTTGATATATAATTTTTGAAACTATTATTCAAATTAAAATATTGTATGGAGTGGTAGGTTACTCTTTATTATGACAATTACACATGAGGAAACCAAATTTTAATTCACAATACACATTGTGAAATTTTAATGAGTAATTATCAAGTTAGAAAAAAATTTCTATTATTTGACAAATTGTCAACATTACAGAACATTGTTAAAACTTAATTTATTAAATTTTTCTAAGGGTTAAACTAACATTTCTTGGTCCATAATATCTTTTCAAATATCATAATACGTTAAAGTGATTTGATTATCTAATTCAGGAAAAAGAAACCATACAAATGGATTAGTAAAAATAAAAACAAAAACCATAAACCATGATTACAAATATTGTAATACGTGTAAACTATTTGAAATATATTTTTAATGAATTAAAAGATGATGATGATTAAAAGGTACCATGAAGTGTTATTACATACAGATCCATGTTTTGTAAATAATTTTATTAAAATTACCTAGCAAAGGACTTGAGTTAGGTATTTTTGTCACCAAATCAAAAAATATATTCTATAAACAGCAAATAATCAAAACCTTCTGTATGAAAAATGTTTATTTCTGAAAAGAAAAAAAAAACATTACAATTTCTAACATTTAGTGAAAAATAGAACTAAAAAATAAAACAGAAAAAATATCAATAAACAAATAATGGTATCTTGTATTAATGAACAATTTATATAAATTAAAGAATTGAAAAAAAAAATTAGGTAAGCCACTAATTTACAAAACACTGACAAGGGAAGGCTACATTCTATGGATCACTGATTTCTCCCAATTTTCTTTGGTGATAATAATAATAATAAGTAGGCGTAGGGAATTGGCGGCCCCATTGCCCATCCAGTTAGTATGCAATCAGCCTCCCGCAAGGGTTATCTATTGCATGCAGATACCTGGGGATTAGCGCCCTCATGGGATACCACAGCTCAGTACACCATGCACACTCACCAGAACAGTACACATACATTACATACCTTACACTTCAGACAAAGGCATTAACAGTATACACCCTAGAGATACCTTCCCTAGGAAGCCGCTCCGGATGGGGAAGCAGGTCCGAAGGCTTCAAGGTAGCAGCCCTACCATCGGACTCGGATGCTATGGGCCGATAACCCGTACATCCTAAATTAACCTATCAGGAAACCTCAAAAAAAAACGGATTGACCTCAGGGAAACGTCTTGGCCATCAAAAGGATCTTATTTTTGGATATTGGAATGTTTTGAGCATGTATAGACCTGGAGCACTGTAGATGCTTTTAAATGTCGTTGACGAATATAAGTTGGACATAACAGCCATCCAGGAAATACTTTGGACAGGACATGGAATCACCAAAAAGAAGAGCCATTCTATATATTATAGTTGCCATAGTAAGCACCATATCTTCGGTACTGGGTTTATTGTACATAAAAATGCAAGGTCGTTAATTACAGATTTCAAGCCTGTAAATCCCAGAATTTGCTACTTAAGAATAAAAGGAATTTTTTTTAATTATAGCCTTTTCAGCGCTCATGCCCCACGGAAATTTCAGATGGCATAGAAAGGGATGAGTTTTACGAGACTCTTGAAAAAACAGTAGATACATGCCCTAGTGCTGACATAAAGATAATAATGGGTGATTTCAACTCAAAGATTGGCAATGAGAGCGTATTCTTCCCAACTATTGGTCAAATATAGCCTGCACAATGACACTAATGTTAATGGACAAAGATTAGTGAACTTTGCCGCATCTAAAAACCTAATCATAGGGAGCACGCTCTTCCCACATAAAAATATTCATAAAGGTACGTGGAAATCCCTAGATGGAAGAACTATAAATCATCATATCTTGATTAGTGCAAGACATCGCTCAAATCTGATCAATGTCAGAACCTACAGAGGAGCCAACATTGATTCTGACCATTTATTGCCAGAATCAGGGCTGGGATAGCGAACACGAACGCAAGAACAGAAAGACAAAAGCTAAAAAAGTATGTTACGAATAAACTGAAAAATCTAGATGTGCGTCAAGTATATGAGGAGCGAATAAAACTAGTAACTCTAGATGTTTCAAATGATCATAAATTGATTGTATATGGGATGCGTTCAAAGTTTCGCTGGATTCGGCAGCTGAAGAAGTTCTAGGTAAGCAGGAAAGATCAGTCAGATCTCCCTGGTTCGATGAAGAATGTCATTTGGTGACTGCAGTGAAGAATTAGGCCTATAGAAAAATGCTCCAAAAAAGAAATACTCAAGCTGCAACTGAGGAATATCGTGAAAAAAGGTAACACAAGGGAAAAAAAAACAGGAATACGAAAGCAATGAGTTGGAGGCTATTGAAGAGCACAGAACCTAAACGAAGTGAGGAAATTTTACCAAAAAATTAACGAAGAGCGCAAACCTTATCAACCAATAATTTCTTCATGCAGAGATGGAAATGGTAATCTTCTGACGGAGAAGACAGATATTCTGGATAGATGGAGAAGATATTTCGAAGACCTCCTTACTAAAGGATTGAGAAATAACAACATTGATGAGGATGCTGTAACACCTGGTTATAGTGCCGATGATGATCTGGAACCACCAGATGATGAGGAAGTAGAGGAGGCAATAAGAAACCTTAAAAACAACAAGACCCCAGGATTTTATGGACACCCAGGTGAACTATACAAATATGGGGGAACCGAGCTAATAAAAATCTTACGCGAGCTATTCTTGAGTATCTGGACAGAAAAGAGATTACCTAAGAATTGGAACAAGTCTGTGATATGCCCTATATACAAGAAAGGCGATAAACTTGACTGTGAAAATTATAGAGGCATTTCTCTGCTCTCCAGTGCTTACAAAGTTGTAAGGATGACCTATCACAGAGGTTCATGACAACTAAAGGACTGCGACAAGGAGATGTTCTTGCATGCCTCCTATTTAACCTGGCAGTCGAAAAAGCTGTGAGGGATTCTGGCATCCAGACTACTGGTACGCTATTCAATAAGACCCTACAGCTACTTGCATATGCCGATGACATCGACATAATGGCTAGATCGATGAATGCTATGAAATGAGGGTTTGTGCTACTAGAAGCAGTAGCTGCAGGGTTAGGATTGGTCGTTAACGAAGCAAAAACCAAATATATGTGTATTGGAGATAGTGCTACCGCCCGAGAACAACACCTGGAGATTGCGCACTATAAGTTCCAGAAAGTTAATGAGTTTGCATATCTGGGATCTCTGGTAAATAGAGAAAACAAAGGAAACCTAGAGATCAAGAGAAGAATAGTAGCGGCAAACAAGTGCTATTTTTGCCTAAATAAGCATTTCAAAACTAAACTCATCTCTCGCAGCACAAAGACACAGCTTTATAAAACGCTCATTCGTCCGGTACTGATGTATGGCTCCGAAGCCTGGACCATGACGCAAGGAGACGAGCGAGCCCTAGCGTTATTTGAGCGGAAGGTGCTCCGCAGAATCTATGGTCCTGTGCGCGATGAACAGAATTGGAGGATTAGACACAACACAGAGCTTTACAATCTATTCAAGGAGCCGGATATCATAAGAATCATAAAGCTTGCAAGACTGCGATGGGCAGGGCATGTGGCGAGGATGCAAAATGATGAAATCCCCAAAAAAACTATGGAGAGCAATGAACAAGGCTCTAGGAAAGTAGGAAGACCACGGCTGCGATGGCAGGATTGTGTGGCAAGGGATGCACGTGCACTACTTGGTGTACGTAACTGGAAAGCGGCTGCGCAGGATAGAGACGCCTGGCGGACACGTCTTGAGGAGGCCAAGACTCTTCATGAGTTGTAGTGCGGTGGAAGAAGAAGAAGAAGAAAAAGAATAAAAGGCTTAGCAAACCGGAAGGTTCGATGCCGACATCACCAATCGCTTACTACATACCTCCGTCAATCGTTCGCCGTCCAAAACCAATCCCTTCAGATCAGTTTTAAAGCAATCTTCCCACCTTCGCTTCAGTCTACTCCTCGGACTTTTACCATTAGGTAGAGCAAATATTACCCTTTTAGGAATTCTTTCGTTACTAAGCCAAACAATTTTATAATCCCATTTGATTCGCCGCGATGTAATCACATCATTTATATTAACCAGATAGAGCTCATGCAATTTGGTGATGTGTAACCGTCTAAACTCTCCGATTAACTCATCCTTCTTGGGGTTAGAATATTAAAAACCTTAAGATGTTGTTCATCCTTTAATGTAAGCGGCCTGATCTGTTTTAACTACTCGCCGCAATCGGGTATAATAGCATTCACACAAAACATATTCCCCTCCTGAAAAATATCTCATTTCACAAAAAAAAAAAAAAAAGAAGCAAAAACCACACATTTCTGCCAAATACATACTTTTCACTAGTTGAAGAGCAGGTTACATAATATTTATATAGTCAGAATATAGTTAACGAGTTGGAAGTTCTTACATTATTTAAAAAAAGAAAACAAATCTTCATGAGGATGCGTTCATGTAGAGGTGTCTGTAACCAATATATTACATCATAAGAATCCGAAAAACAATGCACTTCCTCAATTTTCAAATGACTTTTAAGTTTACCAATACACGCAATTCATTAGAAGGCAAGAAGAGCAGCGTTTAATTCCAAACAAGGCATTCTGTTTGAAAAAGCCATTGAACCTTAAGTAGGGGTGGTTAAGGGTAGTAGGATCGCCTTACTTTTTGCCCTTAACAAATGAATTTTGGTAGCTTCTCCAGGGCATTCAACTCTCAGGTAGATCACACACCCGTAACCCCTCTCGGAAGCGTCTGAAAAGGCGATTGTTGCATGGATGATGCATTCTGGCTGACAATACAACAAGGCAGGCAAACATTTTCAGGCTCGGAAATTCTTCAAGGAAAACCTTTCACAATGAAGACACACTAGAGAGCAACTCATCATCCTAATCAAGCTTAAGCAGCCACAAACGTTGTAATATATATTTACCAGAAAAGATTACTGAACTGATATATCCATTTATATAAAACATTTTGGCAATGAAGCATAGATTACCACACAAAATAGACTCACTTTCTTGAACTGAATACCTGAAATGATCGAGTTTAGGATCCCAAAACAAACTCAAAACCTTGGACAGTCCAGGAATCTCCATCCAGGCACAGTGGAAGTTCTTGATTACCCTCAGGTGGGTATAACAGAAAGTCTTTTTTTGGAATTGCTGGAGAACTGAGTTCAAACCCACCTGCTCCAAATAAGGCCATCAACTCATTATACAGTTCCAGAGTCTCATCACTAGACGTTGTCTACATAAATTTGGTCATGACACTGGGGAGCTTTGATAAAATTATGGCTTTCTTCCCGATATAACTGTACAATGACTCTTTGAGCGACAACCTACTCTGAGGCTATGAGAGTTTTTATAAAAATCGTAAATTTCCGTGGTAATATTCGTATTTCGCCTATTTATTCGTTTTTAATATATCTTATGCTTTTGTTGCATATTTGAGGAAGTCAAGCTATTTCCAGATAAGTTTCCAGGAATTTTCAGAAAAGAACGCATAGTGACTTGCTGGAATCAAGTGACTTCGTTGATCCTTACGTTAATCCTTGCTTGTCTTGGCCTGCTTTGCTGAACTTTTGAAGAAAATTTATTTTTCCTTCAGCAATTAAAATTTAATTTTGAATTTTTATTTTTTTAACAACTTTGAAGATGGCGCCAACTCAGAGTACTAAGGGACTTAAAGCCATTAATGATAGAAAGGAAAGACTGTTTCTTACAATTCAAATCACTTTCGATATGATTAAGGGTCTCCCTGCTGTCAGTTTATGGAGATCTACCAAATGACTATGCGAATGAGAAATGAACTTCAAATGGAAATTTGCCATACACAGAAATGCTTTTAGTTCCTAATATTGTATGGTACCAACATATTCTTGATAGTGGACACTTTCCGTTTCCGTTCCAAAGTTCTTGAAGTGGATGAACCCTGTTTTGGTCGATTCAGTGCCCCATATATACACTTGACTGATCATTTTTGGAATTGCCTTTTTTCTAGTTTCACTCTAATACCAGGCCTGTTGTAGTGTTTTGAAAATCTTTCAATATCGGCAAATGCAGATAACTTTTTCTGACCACTAACCAGGATGTTGTCTTACAGAACCAAAACATCAGGATTCCCTTTAACGGCATTTCCATAAATACTGGAAATTTCGCAGGAACTGCCAGTAAAAGCATAACCGCCAGTACCTAAAACAATCCATGTTTGAGGTGATAGTCACATAATCCTTGATCCGTTCCTCAATCTCCATCTGAAGAAAAGCATCCCTGATGTCATGAGACCATGAGTTGAGTTGCCGCTGAAACAAAACTGTAGAAAGTTGGTAACAAGAAATAATTGTCCAAAGTTACCTTTGAAATATCCTCAGATTCTGACAACCCCATTACCTTTATCAATATTGCCTTTCAGTTTGGCCCACCAAATAAGCTTCATGGCTGGTCAACTAATTTTATGATTCTTGATTTACAAAGCAATTTGACTTCTGTTCAAGTGGCTTTCTTAGTAGAAATGAGATTATATGAGCCTAAAATATGACAAGCCTACACTCTTCTTTCAGACAAATTTTAGCCCTAATCTCTTATAATTGACCAAGCTAGTTTTTAAATATAAATATTCATTGCATTACTTCTGAATATAACTAGATCTTAGATCCTTTATGGTTGGAATAGCACTCTCATTTTTATAGATATCACAAAAACTTAGTCTAAGTTTTGAGTGTCTTCCAATATACCTACAGCTCCTCGGAAATACATTCTGCCTCATATTTATGTACAGAAAGTTAAATAAGCTGGTGGTAAAAAAAATTGGCACACCTTAAATTTTATGAAAAACTATTAAGAAATATTTTTGAGCCTGAAGTAATAACAAGTGTATGATAGGTCAAAAGGGGATTACTATGCATTAATCCTTATGAGAAAATCTAATTATTCTCTCTAGGATTAACGATAAAAGAATTAAAATAAAACGTGAAATTCATATCAGTTTGTATCTAGTTGCCTCTTTAATCGCATTGGTTTGTGGTGGTTTACAGTTAGTTTCTTTGTATTTTTTAAAACAATATTTCATTTGTATCAAACATTTTTAAGAGTGTAAAATGGTTTTGGATCATGCGGCAATCGCTCAAATTACTGCGTTAATTAAGAACGGCCAAAGTCAACGATACAACAATACGTGGCCTGAGTACTGAGTACCAAGTATTTTACTCAAATTGAATCACTGTTGTAAATTCAATGACTACTTCAGTTAATTGTTTGACATCAACTGAAGTAGTAATTAAATTCATTGGTACTCAAAAAAGCTCAGTATTTGAGTAAAATACTTGGAACTCAGTACTCAGAGTAGCATTTGACCATCTCTATGGACTTGCTTACAGTATAATCTTAACGAGGCACAAAAAGGGAAAAATAGAGTTGAAAACCAACTGATAATGAGTTTTATTGATGATATTGATTAAAATATTTCAGAAACTAAAATTCGGACCTGCATACTGTAAGCAAAGAAAATGTTCAGCATTTCATCCTTTTTGTAATGGCATATTATTCAAAATTGTATCTTAATGCCGTGCTGTGTTAGAGAGGCAAAAAGGGAAAAAATTGTGTCGAAAACCAACTGATAACGAGTTTTATGTTTATGCCATGAGATATGAAATATCCCAAACTAAAATTCTGAGCATTTCATCCTCTTTGTAATGGTGTATTAATCAAAATAGTATCTTTACATGACCAAGAGAAAATTTTTTGATGGGTTCAAATGTCCCTAAAACCTTAAATCGACCTGTCTGAGCTGGCAGACGAGTATTTTCGTAATACCTAAAAGGAGTACTATCAACCTGTAAGGTTGAAAATTTGCTTAATATACTACGTCTTTTTCGTCCCTGGCTCCAGGTCTATTAAGTATTGTAGTATTCAAAAATGTCTACTTCAGCGACAACCCATTTAATGTGTGCTTAAGTAGATAAGGAAGTACATGTTCCTTAGGATGAGCGGGATTATTTCCATTGTCGGAAATTACAATTTATTTTTTTTTGCATTAGGATTTTTTAAAAAATCCTATTTTGAAATTATTTTTTATTTTAACGTTTTTAAGTATTGGCGATTTATACTCATTACATATGAAAATCATTAAGTACCTACTAAAAAATAAATTAAACACAATTAATTCAACAATTTTTCATTGTTTTGTACGCAAATAGTTTTAAAACCTTCACTATATTCACTATATCTTGATTTATCAACCTACAAACAAACAAGCTAAAGACTTTACTCTCCTAGTGGCTTAGTTGGTTAATTATTGAAATAGGATAGGAAATAATATGAAATCCTCCTCCTTGTGTGACACAACTAAATTTATGTTTATTATAAGATACTTGAGTAAATAGCATGACATCACCTGGTCTAAATACTGGATTAACAAAAAGGGACCTCAAAACTATGCTTCCATGGGCCACTGAAATTGTACACCATTGGGACAAGCTCGTTCTTCAATCACTGTGTTCTATTATACTAATCAAGAAATAAAATAATATAAAACAAAAATAAATCACAAAAAATAAACTTACTTACAATTATCATTTTCTTTCCTTTAATTAGCTGCCCCAAGTGGGATCAACGATCAGGGCAGAAAATGCGAAGATAAGAAAAACCACTCCTCCAATCATCATTACTAGAAATTGAGAACAGAAATTACAACTAAATAAATATTAAGTATATTTATTTTCATGGTATGTCAAACAATTTTAATTTCATTTGTTACATTATAAACTTACACATTAATAGCTATTAACACTTCCATATATATTATGTTCCCCCCCCCCCCCCAGACATACAGTCTATTGCATGTTGTCCTATTCTCTATTAAAACAGGACAGAAGCATTCGTGAGCTTGTATAAGTTGGTGGAATAAATAAATTCGCAGAGTGATACAGCCACTACCAGAATGAAAGGATCTCAGCCTAGCCAAATCATTACATTTGCATATAATGTGGTAAGCGATTACATCTTCCAGACCACAAAGTCTACAAGTAGGTGTTACAGTTAAGCCTAGTGTCAGATTTACATCCTTATATAAGTCCATTTCATCAAGGTCAGAGAGAGAAAGAGAGCAATAGTATCTTCGAATGTATTTAGATTTCCTTACCTTTCAAAAATACCCATCTGTCTTATCTCAATCTCAAAAAACCATCTGTCTCTCTACTCACTGCCATACATAGGTGAAGACTCCATGCGGGGGAGAAATCGCCCCTCTCACCCCCAATGAAAATAGAGGGGACTAAAATATCGTTTCGCCACCCCAATATTTTGAAGAACAAAAATTTAAAAAAATAAAATCAAAATCAATAACAATTAATCTACATGAATGAATGAAACATGTTAACTAAAATAAATTTAAAAAATAGGAAACAGTCGACTAAATGGCTAAGTTAAGGCCTAGAAGTATGTAGCAAGTATTTTACCATGTCCTATGTTCGTATTGTTGAAATTTTAGTTTATAGTCAAAGATAATTATATTGTTTAGTTTATAGTTTAAATCCAAACACACCACCTTCACCCTACGACGCAAGTCGTGTCCACCAGTTTATTTCAACTCCATACCACTTCCCCTCTCCGACACAGTTCGATACCTTGGTTTCTTTCTAGACAAAAGACTAACAGGGAACCCACATACCAGACTTGAAAGATAACAGCTTAACCGACGATATGGCCACCTATATAGACTACTCAATAGAAAATCTCAACTTTCAGTCGAGAACAAACTATTAATCTACAAGACAATCCTGAAACCTATCTGGACCTACGGACTCGAACTGTTGGGAACAGCAAAACTTTCTAACATCAAACGCATTCAATCCTTCCAGTCTAAAGTTCTTCGAACAATAGTCGATGCTCCCTTTTATGTAACCAATAAAACCCTACACAATGACCTTAATATTCCATTTGTACTTGACCTAATCCCAGACAAATTTCACCAGAATCTCACTCATCATCCTAATCCTGTAGCACAGTCTCTATCTACCTCCAGTCATCCCTACAATCCTCCTCGGAGGTTAAAACGGCAGTGGCCCCGCGACCTTTTGTAAAAATGTATATATTGGAGTACTGGCACTGGCCAGATTCTTCACTCATGTCCTGAGCGTCTGTTGCTCTAGTGCCCTCCATCAGTCTCCACTGGCTTACTATACCAGTGACGCGGCTGGGAGAGAAGCACTGGGATCTCCACATTGGGGGACAAAGCTTGATTCAGAGTCCCCTGGGCCAATGTAAATATTGTACATAGGTGTGAATGTGTTTTATTTATTTTGTTATCATTCGGCTAATCTGTTATTTTACTTATCTTGTATATTACTTTATCTTTTTATTTATTTATTCTTTTTATTTTATTTATTTGTGAATGAATACTATAGCCCTAGTACCAATGCCCTTCAGTGTGGCAGACTGTATTAATACTCAATAAAACAATAAAAAAAAAGTTTATAGTTTAAATATAAATACTTTGGTATTATGTTGTTTGTTTAATAATAATTATGTTGATTATTTCTCATAATTTTTATACATAATATAAACTCTCGAGACATATTTTTGGGGAGGGGTCCATCGCCCCTCTCTCAAGCAGAATAGAAAGTCTGCACCTATGACCACTGCTGCCACATAAATTTTATCTTTTTGGTCCACAACACATACTCTCCCTTTTTGAATAGTGGAATTACATGAAACTTCACTTATATATATCAATTCCAGCATGATCTAGCCATCCAATGCCTTGTGAATGGTAAGTGATAAGACGTCTCTTTTAATGAGCATATGATCTGTAAGATCTACTAGGCACCAGTTTCTTTCAGACATCACTTCCTTCTCTTTACTCTCTTTGTCTCCCTCTGTTTACACTATATTCATCATCAGTATAGAATAAATAGGTTTTAATTGATCATAAAGAACTTTAACCATCTTAAAATTAAAATTTGTACAAATTTATTTTGGTAGATATGAGAGTCAGGTCATTTAGAAATTATTATTATTTTTATTAGGTGTTTTTCAGAACAGTTTATGATATTTGGTTCTTTATCTTACTCCACAATTGATAAGGTGACCAAACCATTCTGACCTACCTTTCTCTGGATACATGTTTAGTTCGTCAATATTGTTGATCTGATGTTTATCTTCATTTTCATTTGACTCCCCTGTGGATTCTATGTTTTCATTAGGTATCTCTGTGTACTCTTAGTTGCACATTCCACTAATTGGTTGGAAATCCAATTAGCACTTAAAAGAAACGAGCTTGTGTGTGTCTAGGGTATAATGTGAAGTGGGGATTGCCTCATTCTCTTTCTCCAGAGCCAGTTTAAACCTATTGAGGTGTACTGTATACCTTATTCCGTTCTTTAACATTAGGGTATATGTCCATGGTGACACACTTTTAACAACCTTGTGCAGTCCTGACCACAGAACAAATTTACTTGACTGCACTTGATATGAAACTGGCTCGAATAAATAAACCAGTTCTCCTTCCTGATAATGACACATAGTCTTTCTGAAATCATGGTTTCGGGTAAGAGTTTCCCAAGCTACTATCACCAAATTGTTTATCTTTTAATGAATGTCCAAAAGTCTATTTTTTAGTACCGGAGCGCATTCCTCAGTTGATCCTGGGAACAAATGCTTAGTTCAAAATAAGTATAAAGTTCAAATTTATACATATAATAGATGGTATGGAAAGTACTCTGTTTAAGAATGATGTGATGCTCTGTAAGCCGCAAGAGCAATGGGGACCCGTCTGTCCCAATTGGATGTATCCTTACATCCAATTATGCCAGAAAGTCCCACAAAATCCAATGGTAGTGTTCAACCAATCCATTTTTCGCCAGATGGTAGGCTATAGTCTGGAATGTCTTTATACAAAATAATCGACAAGTTTCTTTAAACAAGACTGATGTGAGATTTCTACCTCTGTCTGTAAAAACTTTCTTTGGTAACCCATGACTCAAAAAATATACTTTATGAATGCTTCTGCCACTTCATTGGCCATTTGTTCTTTCAAGGGCACCACTTCTGCATATTTTGTAAAGTTATCTACAAATGTTAGAAGATAATTTTTTCCTTTTGTGCTTGGGCCACATGTGCTATTGATACCAATTCAAAGGGACAGGCACCTTTCAACGGTGAACCCAGGGGAACAGTTAACCCTCTTAGGCTTCTTCTCATATTACATGAATAGCAATTGTGGATGTATCTGCAACATCATTTCACAAGCCTGCTCACGAACTCTTTCTAGAATTCGTGCAACCATGCGTTTTGACATGGACAACATGCCCACAAGGAATCATGATTTTCTTTAATGACCAAAATCCATAAATACACTGGAACCATTACTTTTTATGTCTTGGGATCAGACCGATCGTCCATCCAATACCATATACCTTTGTCACCTACCCATATTTTCTTTAGGTATTTTTCATAATATCATGACACAAAGGATTCTCTTAAGAAAGACAATTCATCAAGAACCCTATAATCTACTACTGCAAATCCTCTGCTGAGACCATTAGCGTTTTTATGATGTACTCCAGGCCTATGAACTACGTCATAGTTATATTTCATTAACCCGAGGCTCCATTGTGCTAATCGAACAAAAGGATCCTTCAAATCTAGCATGCATTTGAGAGCAGCAGTGGATTTTCTCCCAAATAAATAATACCTAAACTAATTGGAAGCCCATACAACTGCCATTAACTCTCTTTCAGTGGTGGAGTAGTTTCAATCAGCATTCCTAAGTTGACGGCTGTCCTAAGTTGCCACTGGTCTTTCATGCTCCTCTCTCACAAGAGAAAAGATAGCCCTAAGAATACGCCCGAAACATCTGTCGATAATATAAAGAGATTGCTAAAATTCAGATAAATTAAGACAGCGTATGAACGCAAAGCTATTTTCATCACTTCAAAAGAAATTTGTTTAGCTTCTCCTCAGCGGAATTTTTCATCCTTTCTTAAAACTGTTGTAAGGGGTTTTGCCAGATTCATGTTAAACATAAAAGAAAATTTAGTTAAAAAAGTGAGAAACAATATACAGTAGACTTTTCCTTATATGTCCTCGTCAGAACTGAGACATCGCTGATTAAGAGAGAGAGTCGGCTAATACAGAGGGTATACAATAAAAAAAACTCAATACAAATAAAAATATTATTTAATTTTATTAGTATTATTATTTTACTCAATACAATAAAAATATTATTTAAACTTCTATATTGCAGAAAATCTTTAAAAGTTTACCTTTCAATGAAACAACTCGTTTCTGTTTTCACTCATTTTGTCATACTAGTTAATTGAATGAAAGGTGTAACACAACTGAAAAGAAAAACGTAGTACATAAACAAAAACCTCGACTAAAACCTTTCCAAGAAAATGTGTCATGTCTAACATCGGTAATATACATAGTTACAGTACTGCATCAGTAATTACGCAGCATTTCTCCTTTATTTCTTTTTGGATGAAGGATAAGGATTTTGTTCCAAGAATCAATTTTAATTCAAATAGATTTGTTTAATTGAGGTTCGGTCAATTGTAAAAAAATAATAAACAAAAACCTTTTTGTCTAGATTTCAATCTATCGAACCGCAACACAACAAAAATTAAATTTATAAACAATGGTTGAGAATCTTAATAAGTTGTAAGC